GACTCCGATCTCTCAAAAACGTGCCAACATTGCAGTGTACTGTGTGAAGCCACAAGATATCTTATGCATATTCCTTTAGTACCCCTTTCACTATCTAATCTTACTAATTTCCTTTCAAATAAATTATACCATTTTTTGAAAATTCACTACATTTTATGTGATCGCAAACCCATCTGCTCGATATTCTCTACTTGTATCTCAACGTAAAGGCCACGCTGAACAAGGTCCAAGACGAAACATCAGCCATAAAAAGTTGCGTCTTTTCAAGTGTTCTACGCAAATATTTCCAGAAAGATGTATTTGCCAAGCTGCAGCATGCAACCGCAACCTTATGGTCATTCAGAAACGGTCAGTTCAAATTTATTGTTATTTCAAATCTTAATTCTATTGAAGGGCTCAAAACTTCTCCAATATACATTATTATCTAATTCTCTTCATGGCACTTGCAAACGCTCAAATGCCTCCAACACAACCTCGGAAAAGAGAGGCGATAACCTGCTTCGAAATTTCAGACATCCACCACCTACCCAAACAAAGGAGTGACCCGCATGTATTGTTCCGGAAATCCTTGTCATTCCCCACCATCCAGTGGTGAATTCTACGGTACGTAAACCTTACGAGACATTTGATTTCATTTGAAAAATTTTCAGACTACCAATATTGCAATCCTACTCCAGTTCCTTCCCATGCAGGAGAACAAAGACCCACATGCCAGTATGCTATGCCAAAAACTGAGGTGACCCAAAATTTTATAAAACATCATCCAAGTCAAAATTTGTAGAGCAATCAAAACTTCCGGATTTCGCACGCACCTTCACCATCTATGTCGACAAGTTCTGGTTGTTCAAAATCTCAAAGCGAAAGCTCAGAAGAGGAAATTGATTTCGTACATCGACTACCACCACACATCGAAACCAAGGTAACAACGCATCATGCCCCTGATGATCTCTTACATAAATCGGTTGAGGTCTACTTTCCGCCATCTTCACTGAATCCTCTACACTTCTTCAAAAGCACCAAACGTGACCGAAATGCTTTGGATAAGCGAAGAGTGCACAGGTGTGAGCAACCTGGATGCAACAAAGTCTACACAAAAAGCTCGCATCTTAAAGCACATCAGAGAATTCATACAGGTATGCTAACAACGTCATCTTTCTCAAAAAAATTTTCAAAATTTGGAAGTCATACTGCCTGAAATATTGAAAGCCATACTCCCTGATTGTACTTCCACCAACTTTTGACAGAAATTTTACATAAAAGTAGAGCACTATTCGTCGCAAACGTTTCAAATTTCGATAGTCCAAAAACGTTTTCGTCTCACTGATACCTCGAGTTTCCTCCTTTTGGATACACCAGTCATTATCCTTATCCAATTAGCGCAATCCGGAAACTGCCCCGTGCTCGGTAAATAGGCGGCAACAGCAAAGGCGAGTGACCTTAGCGCCCGACGTTACGATGCACTGTTCAAGGAAGACGCAGGCGA